AAAAAAAAAAAAAAAAAAAAAAAAAAAAAAAAAAAAAAAAAAAAAAACAAAGGAAAGTATGGCGATTTTCCATAAATTAAATCAACTTTAAAAGCCAGGCACATTTGGAGTTACAGACTTCTAACACTGTTACAAGAAAGAAATTTAAAAGCTGATAAAATCTGGAAAAACAATTATATGTACAATATGATGGGGTAGACAGGAGGAGGAGAGAAGTAAGGCATTTGTCCTCACTGGGTCGGCAGGGCAGGAGGCAGTTGCATGTTGGGCGTGGGCTGCATGGGCTGCCAGCTTTCCTGAGTTTGGAGGATGCGGTACAGCTGTTTCAGCTGAGTGACAATGTTATCCTTGATGTCTGGAGTCGAGATCTGCAGGCGGACACTGCCACTGTCAAAGGAGCGTGCGAAATCACCAGAAAACATCTCAAAGATCATCCGAGCCACCACAGGAACAACCTGCTCATGACACAGCCCATCAGTATCCATGGAGGAAAAAGTAGTTTTAAATAGCAGGAGAGACCCAAGATGGAAAGAACCAATAGGTCCCGGAGAAAGCCCCACTGTAATATCTACATACATCATCCTATCTCTAGAACATCGTGCCTGTGTTCACTCAGGAAGTTGGTTCAACTCAATGTAAAGAATCTAGATATAACGTCATACCACATGCCTAAATAAATGACTGCTCACTTGTCAAGACTTTTAGCCAGTTGTCACTTTTGCTTGCTTCCGTACACAACTCTGAGTCAACCCCTTGCTGCATTTCCTAGAATAAGATTACATTCTTAAAAACAACTCAAATGTTTTTTGTTTTTTGTTTTTTGTTTTTTCAAAACCGGGGATTGAACTCAGGCCCTTGAGCTTGCCAGGGAAGCGCTTAATCTACTGAGCCATCTCCCTGGCCCCTCAAATAGTTTTTCTAAGAAACACTGGAAAGAGTTATAGATCTTTTAAAGTTTAAATAAGACTCTAAAGTTGATAAGAGAGTGCAAGTCACTACTGCATCAGCCATCCATGTTAAAGATCTCACATTCTCTAGCTTGGTCCTACTGTACAAAACTTGAGCCTGTTGCCCCATCTGATAGGATTGAAATTCACACAGACTGATGGATGCTCAGTCTGAGGACTCAACCAAGGGCTAAAGCACTGACCAAAAGAAAAAGTTATTAACATGTCTTCAATCCTCACCTGAACCAAAATAAGCTTCCTTTCCAAGGGCTTCCCATCTGGCCATTCTTCCCCAAAGCATAAGTAGATCTCAAATGGTGGCTGCTTCTCTATCTGTCCTTTCTGGTGGGCAATGAGGTCTGCAGAGTAGAAGAGTACATTTGATACCATGGGTCATTCCATATCCATTTGGTAAATACTGTCTTACATACTGCTCAATACAATAGTCATGTGTGTCTCTCAATTTTAAATCAATTAAAATTCAATAATTACTTGGTTAGATCAGTCACACCTGCTCAATAGCCATATGTGGCTGGCTACTAGCTACCATGCTGAATAGCATTCATATAGAGCATATCCATCATTTCTGGAAAATAAGATTGTTCTAAACTTGGAATTCAAGCCACACTGTAGAATCCAAATCTCAGTGCTCTCCCTAAAATTGTCTGCTTGAATTCTCCTATTCAGATATCTCCAAGGAGAAAAGGTACATGCATTGCCAAATAATGACAGTAACTCCAGTTAAAGATAAGCTGATAACGTATGGGGGTCATTATAAGACTTATGCTTTTCTGCCACTGAAGAACTGACAACCAACAAAATAGCTTCTCCTTTCTTTACTTCCTAGGTCACTTTCATTTTTTAGAACCAAAGTCCTCATCTCCCTTGACCTCCAAAAGAAATTTTGTGGTCAAAGTTTTTGCTGAGTCAGGAAAGGAAGGACAGGCAAGAGGGGAACAGAGGAAGATCAACTTCCAGAAAGCAATTCTATCATCAATCGTATAAAAGACTCACCACTCAGGAATGTTTCCAGACAAAAGAGCTTGACCTTCTTTTGTCTCTCAATCAGGTTGGGAGCAACAAGTGATGGGGCACATGGCCCAGACCAGTACACCTTGCACTGGCACAGCCTGATGGCATAAATGGCGTGGCCGCTGACCTCCAGGATCAGTCCTCTGTCCATGACGTCCAGTAGCTTGCTGGTAAAGAGCTTCTGCTTTTCATTGGTGATATGCTCTGGCCCTGGAAATTTGACCTGCTCCAGGCTGACAGGACCAAAGAGCTCCTCCTGGTCAGGCATAGGACCCAGGTCCCCGTAGAAGAGCCGGCAGCCCTGGGGGTTGCTCACAGTCATGGTTTGCCCACACTCCTTCCCACGGTACTGAAACTTGATGTCCAGGTCAGTCACTACAAGGCAAGAGATTACAGTGAGAATCCTGTCCATCCCTAAGATTCATGCTAGTCCCTCAAGATTAAGCCACCTTTCACTGGGCACTCAGCCTCTGCCATAGTTATCCTTCCTGCAATAAAAGGAGGCATTAATGTATGCCAGAAATTCACCCAAAAGGCTACCTGGAAGCAAAGGCTAAGACCCTTCAATACCATTTCTATTGTATCCTCAGGGCTAAAATTTCACCAAGCAAAGACCCGTACCATACTGACTGACTCTCTGTCAACAGGCATTAGAAGGAGCTAGACACTAAAGTAACTAGTTTGCATCTCACTTTTGGTTGTTATTTTAAGGAACCAGAAGAACGAGAATCACAAAGCCATCTTTCTGAAAGTCACAGCATATATATTCCATCAGTACAGTGGGTATAGCATGTGAAGACAACCAGGGCAATGACATGGACATTTCATTAAGATAACTGTGTGCCAGGTTCAACAAGAGCCCCTAGCACTCCTCAAAATCAAAAGCCTCCTTATCCAAGTCTGCAGACTTCAACCTCCCTGTCCTGAAACTGGCCCTGTCACTAATCCTCTAGCCAGACTCTGACCCAGGCCTCCTGCCTACTAAGGGTTGAATAGCATGGAATCCTAACCAATCAGAGCATCCCCTGGACAAACACATCATACAGGCGATGTTGTTTTACTCCCTGTGACTCATCCAACAGTCAGGAAGCAGGCACAGAGGGAACTGGGGGCAGGTCGCTCTTCTATACATAGCACGGTAATAGAAGCGGCACAACAGGAAAGGCACTGGAACAGGAAATGAGGCCCAGCCAGGACGATCAAGGCACACTTACTTGGGAGAGAGCTGATCCACAGCTCTGGAGAGCTATAGAAGGGCTGGATGGGTGCCTGGGGCACTTCCATCTCTAGAGGTTCTGTTTTGGGCCACACTGCTTCAGGGCTGCAGTTACCCACACTGCAGTTGCCCACACTGGGCGGTGCCATAGGAGAACCTAGAACATAAGCACGAGGGTGAGCACACAGAGCCTCAGATGCTTGTGTCCATCTGAGGCTCCAGGGACGAGCAAGGTCAGCAGTCGAGAGTCAAACACAGAAATGTGACCCCACAAAATCGCTCAACGACCCCCATCATTCCCACTGGTTTCCCTGCTTGTTTCTCAATCATATTATTTCATTTATAAGATCATAGTTCTCAAACCCTGTTTGCTAAAGATGAGCACAGAGACAGGTGAGCTGTCTCTCAGAGTTACATCAGGAAGCCATGAGGGAGAGATGCTTCACTATGAAAACTGGCTCCAGCAACTGATAGGAACTGGTTGCCTTCATGAAGTGAGCTCCACCGAATTAACTAGTTAGCTCAAGTAAGTATGAATGTATAGACATCTATTAAAACAACTGTTATTTGAGTCATTTGGAGAGAAATGGGTGTACCTTGAGACTATAATGTCAAGTGAAATAAATCAGACACCAGCTTAAAAATCTCATGGTTTCTTTCATAGGAAAAGTCTGAAGTATAGATAAGTTCAGGAGTGAAATAAAAGATAAAAGGGAGCAGGGTGATAGGTCTTTTGCAAAAGGGAAGGGATGGAAGAGGCAGAAGAGAAGGGAGAAGGGGAGGAAAGAAGTAAGATGTGTTATACATGCATACCAGCTCCACAATGAATGTCACCATTACAGACTGCAAGCATGGGCTAAGGACAATGTATATACGGTGCTGCACGTGGTGGCACAGCCTGTAGTCCCAGCACTCAGGAGGCTGAGGCAGGAGGATTGCTGAAGTTCAAGACCAGCCTGGGCCACAAGGAGCTCAAGGCCAGCCTGAATTGCATAGCAAGACCCTGTCTCAAAAAAGAAAAAATATATAAAAAGTAAAAGTAGCACTTCCCTGCAAAAACAAATAAATAATGTGAAAATGCGAGTGGCACTTTGGACCTTGGTCGCCCTTCTGATTTATGATGAGACTAGACCAGACTTCTAAGGCTTCACATAGATCTCAACATTGCAGGACCTTGAGTGTTATATTTGCTATTTTTCTGATCATTCTTGAAATTCATCTTCCTAAAAATTATTGATGTATTTTGTGAGAAATCTGCTGACTGCACTGAGCTTGGTAGTGGTGGCTGGGAGACACAAAAACATATATCCCAGTAGCACAAATAAAATTTTCTGGCCTATACGCCCAGCACTTGGATTACCACAGGTTTGAGGTCAGCCTAAACTACATAGCAAGACCCTGCTTCAGGAAAAAAAAATAAAGACAAGTTGTTTTTTTTTTTTCCTGTGTTGCAGTCTTTCTTGCAGTTATACAACAATGTAAACTGGGTGTGGTGACACACACCTGTAATCCCAGCACTTGGAGGGAAGGAACAGGAAGATCACTGTGAGTCTGAGGCCAGCCTGCACTGCATAGTGAGTTGAACACCAGTTTGAACTACATAGTAAGACCTTGTCTCAAGAAAAAACCAAAAATACGTAACAGGTAATTACAAATATTCATTAAAAGTAATACAATTATAAGAATAATTTATAAATCATTAAAAATACATTTATATACATAAAACATCTGGAAGGTACTAAAGAACCTAAGAAGATCTGTCTCCAGGGAAAGAACTGGAAGATTCAGAGACAGGAAGACAAGAAAACCTTACTTTCTTTGTTTCTTTGCTTCTTTGTTTCTTTCTTTCTTTCTTTTTTTTTTTTTTTTTTTTTTTTTTTTTTTTTTTTTTTTTTTTTTTGGGACAGGGTTTTACTGTGTAGCTCAGGCTGGCTTTTAACTCACTGTGTATCCCAGGCTGGCCTCGAACTTGTGAGAATCCTCCTGCCTCAGCCTCCAAAGTGCTGGGTTTATAGGTGTGCATCACCATGCCTAGCCCATTATGTTTTGTTTGTTTGTTTTGTCTTTTTGAGACAGGGGCTCATTGCGCAGTTCAGGATGGCCCTGAGCTCACTTTGTAGGCCAGGCTAGTCTAGAACTCACAATGATCTTCCTGTCTCAGCCTCCTGAGTGCTGGCCTTACAGGTATGTAACACCATGCCCAGCACCCCATTACTCCATGTCAAAGTATTATTCATTTGAAAGTATTCAATTAAAGTGTCTCTAATGAAAAATGGTGAAAATCCTAATCCTGTTTCCCTGTTCCTAAATTCACTTGCTCCAGAGTCTACAGATCTCCCCTCCTAGTCTCATCTCTCAGCTATCTAATCTTCAATATTTCTTTTTCTTTCTCCCCAATGTATCTGAAATCACCAAAGTTTATGTTTTGCTGACCCTTTGGGTTTAAGCCCACTTAAGCCTTATATCCATTTTACACTTTTTTTTTTGTTTTGTTTTGTATTTTAGAACAGGGTCTTCAGGGTCTTACTACATAGATAGGACTTGTAGTGATCCGCCTGTGTTCAGCCTCCCAAGAGCTAGGATTACAGCGCTGGCCACCACACCCAGTCTCAGTCGCTGTCTCAGCATGCCCCCGGGAAGGGCCGCATAAGCAGGAGCTTTCATCCCTGAGCTATTTGGCTTTTCTTCCCTGAGCTTACACTTTTGTTTTTAACATACACCCCACAACTTTCCACAAAAGATCCAAGGCAGCCCAAAACATAAGGACACACATTACCTGTAACAAAATAGGAACAGATACAGGAAAGGAGGATGTCTTGGAAATAACTGCATCCTTTCAAGGGGTGAGAATAGTAAAGTAAATCAGCCAAGAATTTGGGAAAGGACCTCACATTTCCAGATATGCAACTCTTTAAAATGTCACTAAATGGGATACAGCATGTGGCAATATTGACCTAGAAGATTTACATGAAAATTTTCTCTACCCAGTACTTGGTTGCAAAGATGTAAATGGCAGGATAAAGACTGCCAGTGAGCACACAATAAGGGCAATTTCCTGATGCCTCTCCTATGAGAGGGTTCCCCAAATCCTAAAGAAAGCATCCTGATATACAGGGGTTTCTAAGTGGCACAAGTTATCTCATAGAACCCATAATTCCCACATGATACCAAAAAGAAGAGAAAGGCTGCTGCCCTGAAGGCAGGTCATTTGAATGATATCTCAGCAACAGGTGATGTGAAGACTGTGCACAAAAGCAATTCAACTTGGATTTGAATATTCATCAGAAAATGCAGCAGGAAACCAGGTACCTGCTGCCACACCATGGCCTTCTAACCTCTCAGCTCATCCTTCCTGGGAAGCTGAAGCCAGAGGTCCATAAACGTTTTTTTGTAGATAAATGCTATCATAGCCTAGCATTAGTGGCCATAGAAATCACAAGTTTCTCATGATACAGTAGAGTGGTCCCTGTTAAAGAAGCACATGGAATTTATAGCAAGGGAAGTACTGGAAGTTAGCCTACCATTCACAAGACAACATGCACACTGAATGGAAACTGGCAGAATTTAATATATGAATGACTTGAAGTGAATTAATTCCACTTTTTAAAACTAGACCTTCTCAGCCAGGCATGGCGATATATGCCTGTAATCCCAGCATCTGGGAGGCAGAGGCAGGAAGATTGCTGTAAGCTTGAGGCCAGCTTGGGCTAAG